GGCAGGGGCTGGCGCTTAAGCTGCTTTGCTGGGCGTCCGTGCCTAGATCAGCTGCTAGCGGAGCCACAAAGGGCCCTTCGTGCTGCCCACCTGCCTCCCCAGGTCCCTGCTCCCATCACAGGGCTGCCAGCTGGCCTCTGTGTCCTTGGTAGGCCTGCCCCCGCTGCGCTGCCTCCTGCTGGGATGCTGCTTTGCATTGGGGGAATCCTTGGCGGTAATAGCCATTCCTGCCCCTGTGCTAGCCTCATGCTGGGGCTCTGCCAGCTGGCCTCTGTGTCCCTGGCAGGCCTGCCCCCGCTGCGCTGCCTCCTGCTGGGATGCTGCTTTGCATTGGGGGAATCCTTGGCGGTAATAGCCATTCCTGCCCCTGTGCTAGCCTCATGCTGGGGCTGATTGTCTTGTAGCACGGAGCTCCTGCGCCGGGTCCGCAGATTCCAGATTGCACAGTACAAATGCCTTTTGATAAAGTATGCCAAGGACACGCGCTACGGCACCAATGGGGTCTCCACACACGACAGGTGAGCTCATCCCAGTATCGGGGCGGGTAACTATAGAGAACTCTGCTTACAGTTCACCAGGCCTGCCTTCAGTGGTGCTTGTCTAGGCACTTGGCAGCCCTTCGGCCCTCCACATGCTGCTTTCAGGAGGGGTGTTCTTTACAGCTAGCTGACCCGCAGCCGCAGCAAGTGTAAGTGGCACAGGGTTAGGCCCCTCAGAACAGCTTGAACCCTCTGTGACGTAGTGGGGGTACTTGCTGGGCTGTGGTGACCCCTGCTGTCTGGAGCAAGACCCAGCAGGGAAAGCCTCACTCTGCAAAGGTAATGCCAAACTTGTTGAACCCCCCCCCCCCATGGAGAGGAACAAAGGAAGGGGGATGCTGCCCTGGCTGGGGGGCAGGGCTGGAAGAGGGTTAGTGAGTTGTTGGCTGGAAGCATGGAGGAGACAGCCTAGGGAAAGGGGCTGGAGGTTAGGGGCCCAGTCTCCCCCATCTCAAGGGGGCCTGAGGCATCCTAGCCCAGCTCTGTGACCAGATTCCATCTGTGCTGTGCTGTATCCTGGAGAGGCACTAAACTTCCTCTATTCCACCGGCTGGTGCAGTCTGTTTGTGCCATTTCGGGGTGCAGGAGACAGGGGAACCCCATCGCGCCGTCACACCCTTGTTTTTTCATAGCTCCTTCCTATGTAGAACCACTCTTGCCAGCTGCCCATTCCTCTTTGCAGGAATACCATGGAGGCTCTGTCAGCCTGCTGCCTCAAAGATGTGCACCAGGAGGCGCTTGGGTCAGCTGTAATTGGTATTGATGAGGGGCAGTTTGTAAGTTCTCCATATCCCTGTCTGCTATTGTTTCCTGTTCAATAACCTTGGAGGGGTTGATGCTCATAGGATGGGAAATGCAAAGAAAAATCTTAGACGCTACATGTTAAGGGGTCAAATAGTCTTGTGTGGAGCTCTTGTCGTCCCACCATATCTGTGTGACCTAGTGTCATCCCTTACAGCACTTGCTATGGGGCCATGCTTAGTCTGAACCCATGGTGTAGCCAGAAGGGCCCACTTGGGTGGGCCCCGACCCCAGGTTGCTGGGCAATGATGGGGGTGGGGGTTAAGCCCTGACTAGAGTGTCTGGCAGGGCAGAGAGGTGAGCCTAGATGCCACGTAAGTGGGCCATGGCCCACTCAGGGTTACCTCCCACTGCACCCCTGGTCTGAATTGGGAAGACTCCCCTTTGCTCAGGTAATGTTGCTTGCTAGCTGGGGCCCTGTCCTGCTGTGGTGGGGGAGCTTCTGAATTCAAGGCTGCCGGCAGCACTTCTTCTGAGCTGTGCTCTGTGTCCTGAAACTCCTTTTTGTGCTGGTCTAGTTCCCAGACATTGTGGAGTTTTGCGAAGCGATGGCCAATGCAGGGAAAACCGTAATCGTTGCTGCCCTTGATGGGACCTTCCAGAGGAAGGTAACTTCTCGTAACAGAATAACTGGCTCCTCCTTAGTGCTCTGTTGCTGTACCAAGCTGCCTGTCTTTTTGCTGCAGGCGTTTGGGAGCATCCTCAACCTGGTCCCCTTGGCGGAGAGCGTGGTGAAGCTGAACGCTGTGTGCATGGAGTGTTACCGGGAAGCTTCATACACCAAGAGGCTGGGAGCTGAGAGGGAGGTAAGAATCTAGGCAAAATGATCTGCCCATCGTATGTACGCTCAGGAGGAAGGAGCATCCCCTTCTACCCTTCTCTCTCCTGCCAGGTTGAAGTCATTGGAGGGTCAGACAAGTATCACTCTGTCTGTCGCGTCTGCTACTTCAGGAAGCGACCTCAGCAGGCTGGACTGGACACGAAGGAGAACCTGCCTGTGGGGCCCAAACAGCTGGATGTCAGAGCCTCCCGGAAGGTCCTGGCTTCTTTACAGATGCAGTTTAGCTCCACAAACTGAGCAGGGGCAGCTAGAGACTGCAGCTGTGGCCCTTCCTTAGGGCTCGCTTCCCCTGTGTTCAGCCCAGAGCTGTCTCGGGGCTTTGCTTGTGCACGCTGAGCTACAAAGAACCAGGCAAGCCTCCCTGGAAAAGGGATGAGGGGAGAACAATGACAAACAGGAATCGGGCAAGTCCTTTGCCAAGGAACCTGGGCAAGAAACTGGAGGCAGCCAGACTTGCAATGTTATAGACCCTGTTCCTAACGAGCTTATGGATCTGGATGCCCCGTCTCTAGGTGCCTGTGGGTCCAGAGGACCCAATTGCTTTAGCCTCTTCATTTTACTGCCTTGTACTCCATGTAAGGTGAAGGGCCTTAGTCCTCCTATCAGTGCATGCCAGCCCTTAGCCTCCCTCCTGAGTCCCCATTTTCCCCCACGATACTTATGCAGCTCATGAATTTCCCTTGCCCGTTCCACTTCAGTGACTGCCCAATTTGAGGCCTTTTCTCTCATTTAAATTTGCTCAGTGACAATGCAGAGTTGGCCTAAATCAAGGCTTTCCTATTCCAAGGGTCCCCTTCTGCCCCCCCTGTTCCCAGCAGTGAAGGGGGCCTTGGTGTGTTGCGTTTTGAGGGTGAGGTGGAGGTTCTGTTTTTAGTTTGTGCTACAGCTGTGAGGCTCTGCTCCTCCCTGAGCACCCCCCATGAGGGAACAGAATGGACGCCACCGTGACTGGAGGGTGATCAAGCTTTTAAGAGGCTCGCCTGAGGTGAGGTGCAGCTGGGGCTGCTGTTAAAGGGCAGTAGCTGCGTCAGTGGAGCCCAGATCTGTCACTATGCACAGCTGCTCCCTGCAAACTCTCCTTGGGGCAGACAGCTGTCCAAGGCCCTGGGGCCTCACCAGAAGGGCGTGCAGGCGGGGCTCTGAGGAGCATTGCATGTCCCACCCTTGTCGAGTGAATCTATGACTTGCCCTATGGCGCTGCTGTCCCAAGAACTGGCTGCGTAAGTGAGGGCCTCCCTCCAACATGGACCTGAGCGCGCCTGTCTGCTTCCACTCTTATCTGCATTTCTTCCGGTGTCCTTAGCAAAGCTCTCTCCCCTTTCTCTCTAGGGCTTGGTCTCTCCCACTGGTGCCTCATGCCCATGGCAGCTGGCTGGCTGAAGCCCCTGGCCACTAAGTAGCAAGCATTTTGTAGTCCCTGGCCATGAGCACAGACCTTCCCTTCCCTGGAGAAAGCAACTGGCACCACCCTGCCTTGTCACCTGGGCTTACGCTCACCATGCCCGGCTTGCTGCTTTGGGAGGGACTGAGCCCTGACTCAGGGAGGCTTACCGTGCTCCAGGCTGCACCATTAGCAGAGGGGGTTCATTGCTTAGTGCTGGGTCTAACTGCAGGGGGAACCTTTACAATGAAATGAAATGTAATGAAACTCAGTGTGCCATGCATCAATGCCCATGGGCACGGTGTTCTTGCTGAGGCCGGGGTGGTGCTCCTGGTCCTGGTCCTGTACTGACCCAGGGCCTGTGCTGGAAGTGTCATGTCATACAGCTTAGTTAGGGGAGCTGCCTGCAGGCTCTCCAACTCCACCGCCCTTGCAGCCATGGGGTCAGTGGTGCTGTGCTAAAAATAGGCATGTGCAATGATTACACAGTGCTTGGCTCAGATCAGCTTGCTCTAGGCAGAATGCTGCATTTCCTAACCTACCCTCAAGGCAGGAAGCCCACCCTTTCCTAAGCAGAAATAGTGCAGAGGGCTAAACAGGCATTCGGCCGCACCGAGGGAGGGAAAGTCCACATCCCCCCTGCCCTCAGAGCGCCCCAGCCCCAGACAAGCAGCAGCCACAAGTGGAAAAAGGCTTTATTCCAGCTCCCCACAGGGAAACAAGTATTGAAACCAGTCAGCTTAGGCTTACGGCTCCCACATTGCTTCCCAGAACAGGGGCACTTGGGAAGTAGCAACCTGAGACTTTACCCACCAGGAAAACTGAGCAGGGAGAGTACACAAGGCAGAACAGCTGTCCTTGTCCCTGCTTTGCTGCTTCAGAGGCAGGAGACGGGTGACGCCCCAGGCCCCTGCGAGGAGCAGTTGCTGGGGTTGGAGGAGGCAGAGTTGTGCTCTGAACACAGAGGAGCGTCTCCCTCAGCCCAAAGCTACCCAACCTGCTCAGGGAGAGCAGGAGAAAACAGTGCAGCTCAGCACCCCACCCCTGTGCACAGGCCCCCATCAGTGCAGGAAGGCTGCAGCAGGTGCCCTCTGCCTGGGGCATCTCACCCCATGTGGGACCCACAGAGCAGCCCCCGTTGCTGGGGGCGAGGTAAGGCACAGCCCCTAACGAGGCAGCAAAACTCAAAAAGCTCTATATACAGATCAGGGTTTGCAAGAGGGTTAGTCCTGCCCTGCGGCACCAAGCTCACCCAGCAGTGGAGGGGAGGAGCCAGTCGGGAACTGCTGGGCCAGGCACAGACCGGCAGAGCAAGGTAGCAGCTGGGGATCCAGACATCCCGCAGGCAAGGTGGCACTTAGGGAGGCCAACCTGCAAGGGCTGGTGCAGCGGCAGCCAGGACAGGAGTGGGGGTGTAAAGTTCACCCGTGTGTGGAACAAGAGAAAATGAGTGAAAATCCCAGTGTTGGCACAGCTGGGAGGGGGCCAGGCTGCAGCGGCCAGCCCTGTCCAAACAGGAAGAGGTGGCCTGCCTGGATGCAGGCCCCTGCACAGCCCTCAGCCACCTGAGCTGAGGGAAGCCCCACCCCCATGCAGATACCTGCCTCCTGCAGGCACAGCCAGCGGCTCTCCGTGCGGAAGGGGCAAGTCGCACGTCCTGCCTCCTCCCCCTGCGCGCCCCAGGGCTCAGCCAGGGAGCTTCCAGCCTCTCCTTGGGCCTTCTCACACCAACGCCCTGTTAAGCAGCCACCACTCACCTGCCCCCACCCCTAGTCAAGGTACCCCCTGCCCCACAAGAACTGCACTTGTGCAGTGCTCCCTGGTGGCCCAGGGCTCAGTAGGTGGGTGGGGGCTGGTAGCCCTCCGTGGTCTCTCCGGTCTGGGTGAAGGGCGGCTGCTGGTAGTTGTCATGACTGACATCAGGGTACACGGAGTAGGGGGTGGAGGGGGCTGGGCTGGGGTCGACGTAGCTGTTGGTAAAATCCTCCACGCCCATCCTGTACCTCTGGAGAGCAAAGGTGATCAGGAGCCCCTAGAAAGAGAGCAGCTGTCAGCAAAGCCAAGCCCTGCAGGTTCCAGGGCCTGTTCACCCCGGGGATGCAGGGCAGGTCACAGCGACGCTGCCCGATCCAGGCTGATGGGGTGCTCCAGCCTCCTCCCCACGGGACCGAGGCCCGAGCCCTGTGGGCGAGGAAAGCGCCACTCACCCAGGAGAAGATGGAGAAGAAGCTGAAGGCAATGGCCGCTCGGGCCGAGTCGGCCCCCACACTCACATTGTCCAGCTGCGTCACAGACCACTGGCTGGTCAGGAAGCAAAAGCCGATGAACCACAGGAAGGTCCAGAGAGCTTGGGGGGAGGGGGAGAGAGAGCACAATGGATGGGTCCTGCAGCCTTGCCAGGGGGCAAGCCCATCCCCTACCCCACATGGAGGGCTTAAGGTCACCCAGCGCCCATGGGGCGGGCAGGGCCTAAGCAGCCCTGTGGGCTTCCACTCCCCGAGCATCACCCAGCACTTGGCTGGCAGCCTCCTGGGCTAGGTGCGGAGCCCCCTGGCCCCATGCTCTGGCAAGGGGGCAGGAAGGGTCACCACTGGGCACGCGGCTGAGGCACTTTCTGCCAGGCAGAAGCAGAACCGAGCTCAGCTGGGCATGGCGCTGAAAGAACCAGCCAGCCAAGGAGATGGACAAGGGCAGCCACTAGTGCAGAAGCCCTAAGGTGGGGGGCGTTTCTCACTGCTCTGGGCAGTGCTCTGGCTCATGTCACACAAGGATCATCACGGCCCCGTCTCAGGAAGCCTCCGAATCAGCCAGGCCCGGCCCCCGCTGCCCCAGCGGCCCTTACCTGAAAAGCCCAAGTCGGCCAGGACCAGGTACTTGCGGTCCGCAGCGCTGCTGAGCTGAGGGAAGTAGATGTCGATGCAGAAGAAGAAGATGCAGGCCAGGAAGGCCAGGACGCCGATGGCGATGCCGTAGCGGCAGGCGTCCTCGTTGTGGTTGAAGATGCAGTGGAGCTGAGCCGAGTCGTGCGGGTTGATGTAGCCCTCACCGAAGATGCAGGAGAACACGATGAGGGCGAACACCTGGGGGCAGCCTGGCGTCAGCGGGCAGAAGCGGAGCCACTCGGAGGACCCCGCATGTCCGGCTGCACCTGGCTGCCACGCCAGGCGGGGGTTCGTGCCGTGCAGAGAGGGCTAAGGGGCACTTTGGCCAGGCTGGCCCCAGGGCCACCCACCCACCTCTGGGTGGGGAGGATGCCCAGGAAGCAGGGAAAAGGCTGCACTGGGGCAGTGCACGGGGTGGGCACTGTCATTAGGGGCCGGGCTGCGACTCCGGATTTGCATATTAACGGGAGCAGGGGACTGAACTGCACCCCTGGGTAAGGGGGGGGCAGGGCTTGGCAC